TGTGCCGATCGTTCACGAACCCTTTTGATAAAGAATTTCATAATACAAAAGGAATAGGAAGGGATTCTTGCAATTTAATATTGTCATTGCTATAATAAAAAATATTGCACATGGAAAGTATTTATAATTTATTGCTCAGCCCCAGTTTGCAATTAATTTGGAGTTTATTATATTGTACACAGAACACTTACCTAATGTTACAACTTTTACAAGTTATCAGTGAAGATATTGATTCATGTGCTGATTTTGATTTAGTTTCTAGTTGGAGTAAAGTAAGTTTCTCTGAACTGTGTCATTAACTATGACTCATAAACTCTTAGGAAATGCAATGTAATGTAATGCAGTGACATTATCACCACAGTACTCGCCCACCAATCTTTAAGAATGGTGATTAAGTCCTTTAAGATTAAGATTTTATCTTCCAATGGTGTTCCTATTGAGCTTGTCGATTCCTACAAATACTTGGGTATCGATCGATTTGCATCTCTCTTTTAAGCCTCGCGTCGATAACTTTGTAAAGAAACAAAGTCAAACTAAGGTTCTTTTTCAGAAATAGATAGGGGGACATTTGAACGTGTTTAATGATGGACGATTTCTTTTCACAAAGATGGCCTCCTTTACTCCTCTCTCAAACCATCGTTCCTCTCTGTCCAGGATGTGAACATCTTCATCCCTGAAAGAGTGACCGCTGGCCTGGAGATGAGTGTAGACCACAGAGTCCTGGCCTGATGATGATGCTCTTCTGTGCTGGGACATCTTTTTGGCCAGTGACTGTTTTAGTTTCCCCAATGTAGACTGATCAGCTGTCCCCCTCTTACAACGCTATTATTGCTAGTATCACTTAGCCCCCTGTGAATAGCAAGCAGCCATCAGGGTGCTAACGATTTATTGTCAAGCTGATGGTCCTCCTTGGCTCATGTGAGCAGCTGGTTTTGGTTGTCAGCAGAAAACTGGTTGATCCACTACGAGAAGGTGCTATTTATAAGACTGATCTGAATACAACACCTCAGAGTGAAGAAGTCTTTCGGATGAAAGACGAAACATTTCTAAATTTTTCTTTGTTTGCTTTTTGAACGTCCAGAGGATCTGACTTAACTTTTTTAGACTGTCTATCATGGTACACCAAGATTCATAACTGGCTGTAACTACCATACTCACCACTGCACCCTGTATTCACTGGTTAACTGGTCACCATTAACTTCACACAGACTCTCTCACTGGTACATTTTCATCTTTAAATCACTTCTTGGTCTGCTGCCTTCATACATCTCCTCCTACATGTCACTGCATGAGTGCAGCTACAGCGTGCGCTCTCAGGACATTATTACCTGCAGCGCCCCCTTAGTGCGGACTGAACTAGGCAAAAGGACCTTCTCCTACTCCGCTCCTGTTTCCTGGAATATTTTACAAAAAGATCTGAAGACCTGTCTAAGTGGCTTCAATCATCTGCTAAGTTCTTGGCAAAAATCAGTGCAAACATTTAGTATTTTATATAACTTTATAATGCAGCTGTTTTTGTTTAGTTGTTTTTATATCATTGTTTTCCATTTATTTTCTTCAATTTATATGCCTTCTTTTAAGATTGTCTACTGTCTTTGTTGTCTACTGTTGTCATCATTCTTTGTTAGAAACAGGTCTCTTATAAATGAGTGCTGCTCCTTATTACCTCAAAGAATTGTTTACTGCCCAGACATCAACACGATCCCTCTGCTCCACACATTCCTACCGGTTTCACTCTCCCCAGACAAACTGAGCACCATGGGTGACGGGGCCTTTTGCTCTGCTGCACCTCGTCTGTGGGACACCCTCCACGACCTTCTAAAATACTCCAGATGACAGAAAGTTTTAAGAAATGGCTAAAGACCTTCTTGTTTGAAAGACTTAGTAGTGTTTAGATGTATCTGTATTTCTTTTTAACCCTGTTGATTTTAGTTTTTGCTGTCCAGCTGTTTTATATTGTAGCACTGAGATTGAAAAATATAAAGTATGGTACAAATTCAATAAATTATTATATTATTATTATTACTATTATACTATTACTCATAGTGATATACATCATTCACAAGTACTTTACAAATACTCTCGTGATAACTAGGCATGTCTTATTAACCACAGCTAGCAATTGAAAGTTATTTCAATAAAACTTGTTAGTTTAACTTGAGGTATTCAGACTTTAACAATCAAAGTTCAAACACAATTTAAATGTAAACCACTGACACGTCCCTTTTGACTTGAATGAAAATGTCCCATGAGTCCATGCTCAAACCACAACCCCCGTTGGTCCTACTACAGTGACACTACTGACACAAATTTGGAGCTCCTCCAGTTGCATTGAAAGACAGCTGTTGCTCAAACACCATACACTCCACCCCATGTTTGCCCTTTGACCTCTCTGATCTCCATTCTGGTGTACATGTTGTAATATTAATCTCAATGTATACCATTATTTTTATTTTACTTTGCTATTACCTATAATACATTTGAACTTAAACGGCAATGGCCTACAGCAAGTTGAAAGTTTTTTTTTCCTAGTAATTCAAAAAAAGAAATGTTGCATCTAAATGGCAACTGTTAATAGCAATAATCTGATAAGGCACAGGGTAAGATGGAGGGAAAAATTACAATATATTTTGGGGGATGAAATGCCAAAAGAACAACATCTTGGGGAACTGGAACAACAATAAAAAAATGTTCATTGCTTGTTTTGTACCATTATAACCATCAGGAGACTGATTGATAACTCTAAATT